TGATCAATTCCTAAAAATGCAAGAACTTGTATCAAACTCGCAAGGAGGACTTGTGAACATCCGAACAGGCGAACCTATCATTTATAACAAAAAGACAATAGGAGGCTTGTATCCTTTTACCTGACGCGTTTATTTTAGTGTTTTATCTCGGTCTTGACGCGTCATTTTTGAAAAAAAAAAAAAAAAATACTCTATATAAAACACAACCACTTGACTCTTTCCTTTCGTGTGTTAAAGTATGGAAGAGAGGGGATTTCAAGTAAAGGGGCAAGAAACTCAAGCGAGTAATACAAAGAAGAAGTTCTCTGAGCGTGAGAATAAAGGGAAAATAGAAGATATTCTTAACCCAAACATAACAGTATATAAAAATTCCGCGAATACCTTTAAACGTTGCGAAATAAATTTAATACCAGATAAACAAGTTGAAAGCTATCGATACATGTACCAAATGCGAATACTTGAGGGTATCATATTGACTTTATTGACTTTAGAACGCGTTCGCACTTTCACAAAATGAGATTATTATTTATCGATTTTTATTTAAAACGTGTAGCATTGGATGATCGATTTTCTAATTTATCAACAATTTTAAAGGATCATTACAATTTGGAAATTTCTGATGCATTTCATATCAATCGAGTAAGTTAACAACAATTGTCGTGCGCTCTATTGGATAATACATTTCTTTGATTGTTTATTATTAAAATTTTTTAGGATGAGATACATACAGTCGGTAGAATTTGTTGTGACTCGGAGGGTAATCTTAACACTGAATCCGTTTTGCTAGAAATTCCAGAAAAACGAAATCGTTTGAGATTATCATTCGATGGACTAAAGTCATTTTCTTTATTTTCTGGACAGGTAGTTCTTTATAAATCGTGTTTTACATAATTTATTTTTCATGTTGATTTTTTTTTTTTTAAAAAACAAGAATATTTTTTAAAATTATAATTAGATTGTGGGTGTTGAGGGTACTAATAGTACTGGAAATCATTTGAATATGAGTAGAATTTTTGAGGTAATTATATTATTCATCATTTTTTTTAACTTAACGAATAGAATTTAATAAACAGATCTTTTATTTATAATAGATACCCTTATTACCTAT